TCCTTCATTGCCTTCACCTGGTGCTTACCACTTGGCACTTTTCTTTTTAAGATTTGTTTATTTGAAAGGCAGAGTTACAGAAGGAGAGATCTAGAGGAGATTGAGGGGTGGTGAAGGGGGATAGGACAGGGGAACAAGAGATCTTCCATCCACTGCTTTACTCCCCAAGCCAGGAGCTTCCTTTAGCATTCCCATGTGGGTGCAGTTCTCAACTTGGGCCAGCCTCCAGTGCTTTCCCAAGCACATTAGGAGGGCTCTGGATTGGAAGAGGTACAGCTGGGAGTCAAACCAGCAACCAGTTGGGGTGCCGACACTGCAGAAATCCATTATACCACAACTACTGATCCCATCCACCTGGCAAGTTTAATTCAAGTTTCTTGTTTCTATTGCTGTTTCCTTCAGGAGACTAAGTTGTGCCTGGGCAGGGAGGTTGGCTGTACTGTTTGGCACTGTGTCTGGAGCCCAGGACAGATTCTTGGTAGTCATGTGATATCTGTTGAATACAATGAGAGGCAATGACTACCGAGTGCCTGCTAAGTACTGTCTAACATGTGTGTGACTTTCTCACTCCTAACAAACTCAGAGTAGTTACATTACTACGATTAGAGTGCAGGTATCTTGCATATATCTCAGAGATGATGTCCCAATGCTGGACCGAGTCACTAAGCTGACCACTTCAGCACATGCTACTTTTATGGTTTTCAAAACACATTTACACTCAGAACAAACGATTATCAACAAGTGTCATCTAGAGTACATTTTAGGAAAAGGGGGCCCAGCGCTGTGGCCTAGTGGCTAAAGTCCTCACCTTGAATGCGCCAGGATCCCATATGGGAGCTGGTTCTAATCCTGGCAGCTCCACTTCCCATCCAGCTCCCTGCTTGTGGCCTGGGAAAGCAGTTGGATGGCCCAAAGCTTTGGGACCCTGCACCCGTGTGGGAGACCTGGAAGAAGTTCCTGGGTCCTGGCTTCGGATCAGCATAGCATCAGCCGTTGCGCTCACTTGGGGAGTGAATCATCGGACGGAAGATCTTCCTCTCTGTCTCTCCTACTCTCTGTATATCTGACTTTCCAATAAATAAATAAGTAAATCTTAAAAAAAAAGGAAAAGGTTTTTCTTGTATATTGTCTATGAGAACAAACTAGTAGAAATATGAAAGTGTATTCATGAGAGGATTTGAATGTGTCTCTCAAAATTCAAAATCCTGCCACCCACATGGAACTGAGTTCCTGCCTTTTGACTGTGGCCTGGCCCACTGCTGGCAGCTGTGGCATTGGGAGATGAATCAATCGATGGGCGTGCATACTGAGAAGGCATTTGTATATTATTTATCACACAAAAATAAAACAATGAATTGAGTTCTCTTTATATGTATGCCATGTTATTATTTGCTTTTTGGTCAGTTTCTCTTAATTTTGCCCCACAGTATAGCTCTGATGTATGTTCAGAGTTAAAATGACCATAATTTTTAAAAATACGTCTATAAATAAAAAATAATCATTTCCAAGAGTCTCATTATTCAGCCAAACTGTTAGCATTTTAGTGAAAGAAAAAGGGAGAGAGGGGAGAGGGCTATGCTCATGCCAGACATTAGTGTAACCAAGTCGTTAACATCATCATATCAATGCAGTCTTAAGCTCTCTTTAGCTTAATACTGAGGGTTTTTCCCCATAAAACTACTTATTCTTCAGAAACATGATCACTAACAAATGCAAAACATTCTGTGACATGAATGTATTCTAGATATTTGTTTTCAATTCTTCACTGTTAGGTATAAAGCAATAATATTTTTTTTCTATCTATATATTTGTCAGTATCAGTATTATTTCCTTACACAGATTACTAGGGACATACGGATTTGCTGAGTATGTATGTTATAAGCTCTTATGGCCTCTGAATATATTGTGTCATTTTATACATCTGCTAGCAGGATCTAAACGTTCTCATTTCATTCTATGTTTTTCATTTCTGTTTATTAGCACTATTTAGCTCTGCCATTTTGATGGAGCAAAGGCTGACTAATTGACTTTTTTTTTGTTTCACTTTACAAATACTTTGACTTTTTTTATTCCCCTGCATTTCCAAATAAATTTTAAGATCTGTTTGTCATTTTCTATAAAAAAACAAAACATGCAGTCTGCCAGACTTATAATAAGTCTCACTCTGTACCTACCCCCTTTTACCGCCCCCGCCAAAAAAACCTGAAAATTTCCTTTGATCTGGGAATATGAGCCATGTCTCCATTTCTTTAGCTCTTCCTGATTTATCTCAATAATTTTTGTAGTTTTCAGTGCACATTTAGTACCTCCTTCTTACTACTTTTGTTTTTCTTATATTGTGCAATTCCTTTTAGTCTTTTTTAAACACTAACATAATACTTATACAAACTTATGGGATACGATGTGATATTCTGACACATATATAGTTTGTAATAATTATCAAAACATGAAAATCCAATATCTCAAATACTAATCATTTCTTTGTGATGCAACAATTAACATTCTCTCTTCTAGTATATATATTCAGCTATCAATAGAGTCAATTTTGTATACGCTTAACATGTTTTTTATTCCTTAGGTTTCCTGCTGACTTATGTATCATTATTTCTATTCCTTCATGGTGTGGATGCGTGTGAATATATTTGCTGATACACACATATTTTAAGACATTCCTTTGAGCCTTGACATATGTCCATAATATGTAACATACTTTTCTGATATTTGTCTCTATGTTATTTATTCCTGTGTTGTACACAAAACTACATTTTTCCTGTATTCAGTAATTGAATCCTTCCCTATGGTTTCTTCCTGTGATTTACATTGTTTCCTTATCCTAGGCATGTTTGCTTTTGGAGAAATTTACTTTTAAATGTAGCTCACAATGTTGAAACATTTGGAGAATATGATGAGTCCATGAAATTCCAACTCCAGAGAGAGTTTACGTATTTTTCCCCAAGCAAAGCTCAAGAATGTTAACACAATATATCTACATTGCCAAGTTTCCAAGAAAAAATAAATCAATGTTCTGGCTTTCTCTATTGGTTTGGGAAGAACTGCGCTTCAAGTGATAAGTTGGTGCCTAGATAACCCAATTAAGAATTCACTGGCAATATAAACTAAATCTGCCAGTTAGAGGGATCACACCCAGGGATAGGTATCCAGACACCAGCTAAATGATGACGCAACACCCTCCAGAGCAGGAGAGCCCAGGATGCATGTGGAGTTCCATGGGTCATGATCTAAAAAATAGGATTAACAGAAAAAAAAGCCATGTTTCCTAAAGACAACAATGTCCAACTACTTGAAAGCCTGCTGTAAAAGATCTTTACTTTTGTAGAAAGTTTTCCTATCTTTAGTTTTTAAGGAACTTTCTGCTATGGAAAATGTCATGGCTACATTTTTTAAAATGAAAGACAGTAATACCTTACCACCAATATTTTTATTAATCAAAGTTAAAAGTTATCCACTCATGGTCCATCTGTTTTGTTTACTCCTACCATCACCCCCGCCATCCCCACCATCCAGATCACACTGACACAAATTCTAAGTACTCCCCTGATTCTTCTCTAAATGTTAGTATCAAAAAGGTCTTTTGAAGCCACTGTTTCCATTTTAGTGACATCAAAACCAGCTGTTATTATTTAATTCTTAAGCTGCTATTACAGCTGGAAAGCAGAGGTTCAAGTTTTTTAAAAAATTTTTTTATTGGAAAGTCAGATATACAGAGAGGAGGAGAGACAGAGAGGAAGCTCTTCTATCTAATGATTCATTCCCCAAGCGGCCACAACAACTGGAGCTGTGCCAATCCAAAACTAGAATCCCGGAGCTTCTTCCAGGTCTTGCATGTGGGAGCAGGGTCCCAAGGCTTTGGGCAATCCTCAGCTGCTTTCCCAGGAGCTGGACGGGAAGCCAGGCCTCTGGGATTAGAACCAGCGTCCATATGGGATCCTGGCGCTTGCAAGTTGAGGACTTTAGCGACTAGGCTACCCTGCTGGGCTCCTGGGGGTTGTCTCTATGTTCTCATTTTCCTCAGTCCTTCAGCCTGTAACCATTTATTTGACTGCTCCACTGGAATTCTCCTTGCTGAAGATAAAGACCTTTTAGTTTGCCTGATTCAATGGCATCATCTCAGAGCAGTCATGTCTGGGTTCCAAGAATACCCCCGAGGGTACCAAAATGCACAGTTACTCAAGTCTCTTATACAGAATGAAGTAGCATTTACATATAACTTAGGTTTTCCTTCTGTATAGTTTAAATTGTTTCTGGATTACCTGTATCGCCTAACACAATGTACACACAATGTAAATAGCTGTCTGCATTATTTGGGGCATAATGACAAGGGGAAAGGCCTCTACCTGTTCAGTACAGATGCAACCTGCAGGCCTAATCATGCAGCACCTATTGGCAGTTATGTAACACTATTTTTAGACTATTTTTGCTTTGCCGTTGATTGAACTTACAGATACAGAGACTCGATGTTGCTCAGCTGGACTTCCTGCAGGTTTAACTCTGCCAATTCTTTCCAGTTCTTCTCTCAGAATACAACTATCACCCCCCTCTCCCCGGCTCCCCATCCCCACCTGTCACCTCTTCTCACTACACTTATTCCTCTGGAAGCTTTTCAGTTTAGGGAGAGAAGGTAAGTGAAGTAAGAGTAAATTCCCTCAAGTTCTTCCTGTCCTTGACACTGGATGATGTCCATTCACGACTCTGCCCTGCAGTTCTCAAGCTTTTCTTTAGCTCCATCCCACTGCCCATCAGCAGTAAGCCAGAAACCGCCAGCAGGCACAACAAAGGCCAGTGTCCTTGCAGCTTAAGAATTCAAAAGCATCTCATTCTCTCTAGTTTGCTAGCCTTTATACATCATTTTCCCCCCACTGATTGAGGTAGATTTGTGGCAACTGCATATAAGTAGAAATTGAAGAGTTCTTATTTCAGCAGAAAATTAAACAACAACAACAAATACCTCAAAAATTGGGACATCTAGATAACTTGCTTACCTCATCAAAGACCTTGGAAACAACATGCTTGTCCAGAATGGGGACATAGGTGGGGCTGTGTGGAACTGTGGTCGGAGACAGGGCGTCCATGATTGTGAGCTTCTTGGCGACCAGGCCGTGGACCTGGAGCCAGTCTTCTGAAGACATATCTACAGAGCTAACAGGAGACCAGGGTGTCTTAAAACCTATTGCTGGGTAACAAACCAACCACAGCAAGACCATCTGTATAAAATTAATGCACTCACTCGTCATCACAGACTTGGCTTCCTTCTTGAATCAATCTTCCTGATGATTTGTCATTCGGACACTTATTTGTCGGCAGGGTACTCATTTCTGTGAAAGCAGGAAAAAAAACATATACTGTTCTCAAATCTAGTGTCTGCAATGAAATGCAAAAGGATTACGCTTGTCTCCCTTCAGTAGTGATTGGGAACTAATCAATGGATCATATGAGGGGACTTCAAAATTCATGGAAGGGGTCAGCACTGTGGTACAGCACCATTAATCCTTCACCTGTAGCATCAGCATCCCACATGGACGTCAGTTATATCCCAGATACTTCACCTCTCACCCAGTTCCCTGCTTATGACCTGGGAAAGCAGCAGAGGAAAGCCCTTGGGGCCTTGCACCCACATGGGAGACTTGAGAAAGCTCCATGTTCCTGGCTTCAGTCTGGCTCATCTCCAACCATTGAAGCCACCTGAAGGGGAGAATCAGTGGACAGATTTCTTTCTCTGTTTCTTTTCTCTGTAGTTCTGCCTTTCAAATAAAAATAAAGAAGTCCTTCAAAAAATCATGGAAAAAATGGAGCCAAAAGATGAGTTTATTTTTGTTTAAAAAGTCATGGAAAATGTTTATTTGGAATAAGTTACATGGGCTCCAAAAAATTCTGGCATCAAAAGAAACTTCCCTTTCGTTTCTCATGAATTTTTAAATCTTCTCTTATTTCTGTCAGGACGTGTTGTCTGGCAAGATTAATTTGCAATTACAGTAAAGACCAATTTGTATAGATAAAAATGGCACTGCCATGGTTTTGCATGTCTCCCTCAGCTCTTTCTCCTTGGAAGGATGAGCCATGTTCATTGTCCAGAAGACACATCTAAAATATATACAATAAACTGCCATCAACTAATGACTGTCTAGTGTTGACTTCAGTAGACTTCCTTCAAATGACACAGGAGACACTTGGTCAACATTTCACTTGTTTTGTGATTCCGTAGAGAGTTGGTCAACATTTGTTTTGTGGTTCTTTAGCTCTACACAAAGAACCAAAATCCTGTTGGGTTGTGAATTTAAAATCTCCAAACTGAAATACTTGAGGTTTTAGATTAATATCCTTATACAAACTTGGATCAGGGGCATATATGGGTATGAGTTAATTAAACATCTAAGAAATCACATCCTAATCGTCACAGGACAAGCCCTTGAAGGGGAGTGCCAGTACTGAAGATACATGAGAGGCTCGTCCAAACAGCAAATCACACAGATCAACACTGAAGAACACATGTCAGGTGCACATCTGTCACTCAGGTGTGCCAGGGGACCGAGTGTGTGGACCTTTGTGAACATTTATTGACCAAAAGGGAGCATCAAGAAGTTAATGGAAAATATGGATCATGAAAAAAATGCATGTAGTTTTTTTTAAAAAATTCTGCACCAAAATAAACATCTTTTGATTCAATTTTTGCTCAAATTTTTGAAACACCCTTCTATTTGAAATATAAGGAAAAACACTATAGAAATTAAACCTTAAAAAATCTATTAAGAATCATTTTATTGATAGGAATAAACAAAGTGAAAATATATTTTCCTCTCATTTAGTCCCTAAAGCCTGATAATTCAGACCAAGAAAGGCTCAACAGATGGCATTACTTGTGAATGAAGAAAATAAATCAACCATGATGCATTAAATTTTAAATGCAAATCACAGGGGTGGGGAGCGTGACTGCCAGTACTGTGTGTGTGTATATTGTGCAATATATATATATTTCAAATACATATATTTGAAAGACAGAGTGAGCGAGAGAGAAAGAGAGAGAGGAAGAGACGGAAAGTGATTCCCTAAGTAGCCACAAAGACCAGGCCTGGGCCAGGCCAAAACCAGAAGTCAGAAAATCCATCTAGATCTACCACATAAGTGACAGGAGCTAGAGCACTTGGGTCATCTTCTGCTGCCTTCCCGGGAACATTTGTGCGGAGCTGGATCACAAGTGGGGCACCTGGGACTTAAATGGATTCTCTGCTATTGGATGTCATCCTTGTAAATGGCAACTTAACCTACTGTGCCACAATGCCAGCCTCACACCAGCAGTTAGGTGAGCCCTACACAGTGCAATAAATGCAAGCATAGCCCTAAAATAGTGCAGTCCACTAAAGCATGTAGACACAGCTTACATGGAATGGGAAGCAATCTGGGTCCATTCAAATTAGGATTTATTTCCACCAAAACATGACTATACTCATATCTTTCAGGAACAAATACACTGGGCAAAGGGAGGCTGGTCTGGCCTTCCAGGACCGAAACAAACAAACAAACAAGCAAACAAAACCAACCTTCTGGCTTGCCTTTGTCACTTGCAGCAGGGTTGCACCTGCTGGAGCGAGAGGGGCTGTCCTTCCTTTTGCTGCCAGCTGAGCTCCTGAAGGTGGACATCTGGCTTCTGAGCAGGCTGGTTTTGGTTGATTCTGAGGGTGTCACAAGGACAAAGGGTAAAAAAATTGGAGAGAAATACTTCATCAGCTACAACTGTTTCCCAATTCTCAGAGGATAGTTCTGCCACAAATTGAATACCACGACAATGCCTTGAACCCTTTGTCTAAGCTCTGAGTTCCTCTAGGAGTGAAATCCACTTCTGAGCTGATTCAGGTTGTTGGAAGAACTCAGTTCCCTAAGCCACCCATATTTTTTTAATCACATGGCACTATTATCTGCAAGTCAGTGTTGAACACCTCTAATGACTCAAAAACATTTTTAAAGATTTATTTGTTTGTATTGGAAAGTCAGATATACAGAGAGGAGAAGAGACAGAAGGGAAGATCTTCTGTCTGCTGATTCACTCCCCCAGCTGCCGCAACAGCCAGAGCTGAGCCAATCTGAAGCCAGGAACCAGGAGCTTCTTCCAGGTCTCCCATGTGGGTGCAGGGTCCCAAAGTTTTGGGTTGTTTTCAACTGCTTTCCCAGGCCACAAGCAGGGAGCTGGATGGGAAGCAGGGCTGCCAGGACACGAACCAACAGCCATATGAGATCTGGGTGAGCGCAAGACGAGGACTAACCTCTAGGCTAGGACACCGGGCCCTAATGACTCAAACTGTTTTGACTCTCTTTATCTATTACCTGGAGAAAGCTTGTGATTTTATCAGACCAAGTGATTATGTTGGACCCACCTAGATCGGCCTTTCTTCAGGGCAACACAACACAGTGGAGGAAGTCATGTCTGATCAGATTAAAAGGCTGGAGAGTTTGGGGCAAGGATGTCTGTGTCTGTGGCAAACTGTTGTAGAAATTCTGTCCACCACAGCTGCTTTTTTACTGTTATTGGGTCCCTTCAACTAGTAAGTGGGCACTTAACAAAGACTGATGTTCAATTTGTGTGCTTTAGAAGGTAATGAACCTGTGCTAAAACACCTTGACTCCTTTCTTGTGTATAAGAGGCACCAACTGATTGTAGTACACAAGTCAGAGGCCTCAGGAAAGCTTTCGTGATTGAATTGCATCTCCCCCACCTATAAGAAACAGGAGTCACAGTAAGCAGTAATTCATATCTGCAAATAACCTTTTTTTTTTTTTTTTTTTGCACAGAAAAGCAGCACCAGAAGCGTCTTTGTGCTTGGAGTTGGCAGTGTGTTATGAGGTGTTCATTGCTTTCCTGGGCAGCAAGAAAGGGTGAGCTCTGTCCTGGTTATTTCGGAAAACAAAAGTTAAGCTCTTAGGAGCAATGTTTGTGAGTAAAAGAACTACACGGTCCACACAGGAGAGGGGTGTGTGTGTGTGTGTGTGTGTGTGTGTGTGTGTATGTGTATGTGTGTGTGTGCTGACTACATTGCCAAGCCACCTGCCCTCGTATCACGGGGCAAAAATAACCAGATACATAAGTGTGCCAAAACGAAAATGAAATTTATTTTCTAAAGCATAAAAATGGCACCATTCTCCAAACCTGCAAATGCTGAATCAAACATGTTTATCTGGCAATGAATTCAAGCATTTAACTGCTTCCCAAACTCTCTATACTGACTCACACTACATTTCTTCACTCTTCCACACCAAAAGTGAAAACAAAACTGAAACACATGATTGCCTGGTAATGTCAAAGATCCAAAATCTAAATGAACATGGCAGAAGTGACAAAAAGCCATTAAGATGTTTAGAACAAGTAGCAAGGAGTTACGTCCTGTTTGTCTGAAAGTCAGAGTTATAGAGGGGGGAGAGAAAGAGAGATCTCTGAGTGGCCGCAACGGCTAGGGCTGGATGAGGCCGAAGCCAGGAACCAAGAGCTTCTTCCTGACGTCTCACATGTTGTCAGGGCACAGCCACTTGGGCAATCTTCCATTGCTTTTTCCAGGCCATTAGCAGGCAATGAATTGAACTAAGCAGGGAACTAAGTTTCAAATGAAACAGCTAGGACACAAACCAGCCCCCATATGGGATCCTACCTTCGCATGTGGCATCTTCATCCATATGTCTCAGTGTCGGCCTCTGTATACTACTTATCAATGGGAATATGTCCTAAGAAATGGATTGTTAGGTGTTTTCTTCAATGTGTGAATATTATGGAATGGATTAATACAGACTGGATAAAATGTAACTAGACAACATCATCTTAAAAGGACCACTAAAATGTTGCTACATGGCACACAACTGTGGCGACTCTAGACAAAGCCAGGTTACTAGGGAGGGCAGGCAGGATTGACAAAAAGAATGCAGCCATACAAGTGACCTGGTATGGAAAAGCACTTGGTCCCTGTGGGCTTAAGACATTGTTGCCACGTACAGAGACACCGGCAGCGAGCAGACAGCCAAGAGGATCTGAGCCACACCAGTAGCCATTCCAGGAAGCCTTCCCCTGCCCAAAAACATGTGAGCACCCAAAAGACAACCCATTCCTCCTTCCTCCACGAAACAGGTCTCCCTTCCTAGTCCTGGGAGATGCCTGCAGTACCAGCAGCGACCAGTAGGAGCCCCAGAGACATCAAAAGACATGCACCACCAGAATACCAGCACAAAGCATGTGAGATTACACTACATTTGGAACCACAGACCACAAGAGAAGGCCAGGACCTACAAGCTAAATTTAAACCAGATATCCACTTCCCCAAATAAAATATCTAACTAGAATTCTGAGTCCTTAGCATAATAAACAAAATTTCCAGGATACCTTAAAAAGATCACCATCATCGCAAGAACAACCACAAAAAACCACCACTTAAATGAGAAAATCAAACAACCCAGAATCTTGTGATTCAATCAAGATGGGTCAGAAGTGGGACTGACAAAGTCCTTAAAGGAGCGGTGTCCATAAAAATGCTTTAAGGATTACATTTCTAAGCACTTTATTAACTTTCTTGAAACAAATGGATAAATAGAAAAACTAATAAAGAATCCTCAGGCAAAACAGAAACACAAAAAATGGGAGATACAAAGCCTTAATCCTGACAATAAACAAATAAATAAATAAGGACATCACTACAGATCTTGCAGCTCCTGAAGAGATAATGAAAGAATACAATGAACAAATTTATCCTCATACATTTGACACATTAGAAAATAATGGACTGATTCCTTAAAAACCACAAGCTTCCAAAATTCAATAAAAATAAAATGGGTGATATGAATAGCCTTAAAATCATTCTAAAAATTGGAGCCAGCATGGTGGCAGAACAGGCTAATCCTCTGCCTGTGGCACTAGCATCTCATATCGGTACCAGTTTGAGTCCCAGCTGCTCCAGTTCTGATGCAGATCCCTGCTTATGACCTGGGAAAGCAGCAGAAAATAGTCCAAGGTCTTGGCCCCTACACCCATGTGGGAGATTTGGAAATAAACTCCTGGCTCCTGGCTTTGGATCAGCTCAGCTCTGGCCATGTGGTCATTTGCAGAGTGAATCAGCAGACGGAGGACCTCTATCTGTTTATCTATCTATCTACCTCTCCTCTTTCTGTAAAAAAATTTACCTTTCAAATAAAAATAAATATATTACTAAGAGATATTACTAATAAATACATTATAAGAGTAGGTGTTTTGGCACAGCAGTTACGACACCCTCATTCCATAGCAGAATTCCTGGCTGTGACTCTTGGCTCTGCTTTATGTTAGTGTGCATTCTGGGAGGCAGCAGGTGGTGGTTTAAGTACTTGGGTCCCTGCTGCCTATGAGGGCAATCTGGAATGAGTTCTAGGCTCCTGGCTTCAGTCTGGTCTAGCCCTGGCTGTTGTAAACATTTGGAATATAGGTGTGGGGCAGTGGATTAAAAAGCATTCTCTCTCTCTCTGCCTTTTTAAATAAATAAAAATAAATTTCAAAAAATAAAAATAACACAAATTGAATTTATAATGAAAAACTCTTGAAAAAGGAATCTCCATGGTTCTAGGACAATTTTACCAAACATCCAAAGAAGGAGCACATCATTTTTTTTTCCCCAGGGATAGAATATGGGGGCAACTTCTTAATTCATTTTTAAAAGAGATTTATGTATATATGTATTTGAAAGGCCGAGTTATACAAAGAGAGGAAGAGAGAGGGAGAGAGAGATCTTCCATCCCGTTTACTCCCCAAATGGCCACAATGGCCAGGGCTGAACCAAAGCCAGGATTCAGAAGCTTCATCTGGATCTCCCACCTGGGTGCAGGGACCCGAGCTCTTTGGCCCTCCATTCACTTCTTTCTCAGGCACAGTACTGGGGAGCTGGATTGGAAGGGGAGCAGTCAAGACTCAAAGCAGTGCCCACAGGGAAGATTGGTGTCACAGACAACAGGTTAACCCACTACACCAAAACTCCAGTCCCTTCTTAACTCATTTAGTGAAGACAGTATTAGCTTGATATCAAAACCAGATAAAAGACAGTCCTCAAAAAGGAAAATATTGACTGATACTATTCATAAACTTTGATACAAAAATCTTCTACAGGAACCAGCATGAAGGTTCAAAGGCTAAATCCTCATCTTGCAAGTGCCAGGATCCTATACGGGCACTGGCTTGTGTCCCAGCTGCTCCACTTCCCATCTAGCTCCTGTTTATGATCTGGAAAGGCAGTAGAATATGGCCAAAGGCCTTGGGACCCTGCACCTGCATGAGAGACTCAGAAGAAGCTTCTGGTTCCTAGCTTTGAATTGGCTCAGCTCCAACCATTGCAGCCACTTGGGGAGTGAACCAATGGGTAGATCTTTGTATCTATCCTTCTCTCCATAAATCTGATCTGCCTTTCCAATAAAAATAAATAAATCTTTTTTTAAAAAAACCTCTACAAAACATAAGTAAACTGAATTTGGCAATTTACTCAAAGTATAACACACTAACACTAAGTGAGAAATAGTTTAAGGTTTATAAGGGTCCTTCAAGCATTCAAAACCAATCAATGTAATCTACTGTACTGACAGATTAAAGAAGAAAAACCATATCAATTGACAAAGTAAGACAAATATTCACAATAAAATTATCAGAAATCTAGGATATGGGGAACTTCCTCAGCTTAATAAAGTATGTGTGCAAAAAAACCCCATATTTAACATCGTATTTAATGGTGACTGAATTCTTTCTCCCTGGAATTGGGAAAAAGGCAAACATTTTCTCTTCTACCACCTTGATCCAGCACAGTACAGGAAGTTTTAGCTGTTGCAACAATACAAGAAACAGAGTCAGAAATTATCAATATTTAAAGACAGCATATTGCCAATGAAGGAACAAGGAAGCTACCAAAAATAGAGTTCCTAGAACTCCTAAGTAATTTTAGTGAGGTCCCAGTTATAGGATCAACACACAAAAACAACTGGAACTTGCTATATTATTGATTAGCACACAGAAAAATATGCTAAAACTCATTTTTGATCGCCATTTAATATCATAAAAATGATATTATTAGGTATATATTTAATTTTTAAAAATTTATATGATGCGGAACCGTGGAAATACTGTTCTAAGACCTTAGAAAAGCAAAAATAAAAGAAGGGACAAATCATGGTCATGAGTTGAATGAACTGACATCACAGGTACCAGTTCTTTCAATAAAAGATCTTTCTAAACATATACATGCATATTTCAACACGTAAAGAGAAACTTCAAGTCTTATGATTACCAACAATAACTTTTAAAAGAAGAAGAAAATTGAAGGCATTCCTATACCTGATATTAAAAATTACCATGTACCTATGTTAATCAAGACAACGTGGTATTTGCAGCAGCAAACACACATAGAGCAGTATTAGCAAATGTAGAAGCTAGATTTAATCTGTGCACTATACTCAACTGGTTTTGCCAAAGATGAAGCACTAATTCAGAGGAAAAAGTGTAGCCTTTTCAAAACAATGTTCACTATCACTAGCCATTAGGGAAATTAAAATTAAAATCATCATGAGATATCACACCACTATCAGAAGAGTTAAAATAAAAAACAGTGGCACCTCATACTGGTAATTGTACTGGGTCATTCATTCACTGTGTAAATTAGCACAGTTCCTTTAGAAAATAGATTGATGATTTTCTTAAGATTAAACATCAATTATCACATGATTCAGCAATTGTACTTTTGAACATTTATCTTAAATAATTGAGAATGCACGCTTATATAATACTTGTGCATAAATGTGCATACCTGCTTTATTTGCAATAGCCAACAATTAGAAATGATTTAGTAATCTTTCAATAGATAAGCATTTAAACCAACTGTGGCATCCATGTCTTGGGTTGCTACTTAAACAGTAAAAGGAATATTGAGATATGCAAAATTTTAGATAAATCTCAAGTAAATTATGCTGCAGTCAATAACAGCCTATTCCAAAAAGAATATAGGACATTTAATTCCAACTCCATAAATGGCAATATTTTAGAAATACAGAACTTAGTAGTTGTCAAGAATTAGGAAAGGATATGTAAGGTGGATGAGTGTGCTACACAAGGACATGAAGGATCCCAATGGTTATACAGTTCCCTGCATCTTGACGAGGCTGGTGGAAACAGGGACTGCCACAGGCTTACAGACATAAATACACAACGGAACAATCTAAATGAGGCCCGTGGATTGCATCAATCATCATTTACTGGCCCCCTATACTACGCTGTTATAGTAGATGTTACCAGTGGGAGAAATGGTACGAAGAGTAGGTACAAATAATGATTATGATAACATATAATTATCTTAATGGAAATTTCAATTTAAAAATACCAGATTTAGGGCTCTGAAAAAAAAATACCCTAAGAAAATTTAGTTTTCTTTGATCTTCATGCATGAAAGGAAAGGCCACTAAAGAGTCCAAGTACTTTGTTCACCAATACCTGCATGGAGAACTTTCTTTTTCTGAATCTTCTGATTTGAGAGGTCCCACGGTACTTTCAATGTATTTAAGGAAGTGGTTTGTGTTGTTCTGACATCAGATTGAGGTTTTGCACATTTTTCTTGGGTTGAAATTATGGACGAAATTTCCTTTTGGTGCCTGTTTGATAAAATTCAAATAAGAAAAAAACAAAAAGAGGAGGCAGGGGGAAGAAAAATTCTGTTATGGAGACAATAGTAAAATCAATACATTCATACTACACACTACACATTTCAAGATTTCCTTCCCTCATTTGGGTTAATGCCGGCCCCGATGCAGTGGAGTCGATAGGGGCTCAGCCCGAGTCAGACGATTCGGTTCACATTACAGATCTGTTCCTTCTCTCAAAGTTACTAAGTCCTCTCAACTCCCTTACGACCCCATCTTAAACTGCAGTTCACTTCACCTGTGCATCTTTACAATGGCCTGTGTGAGGATGACCTAAGCTTTTTATTCTGGAGAAGATCTGGGGCCACGAGGGATCCAGAAAAGCTTGAGTAGTTTCCCAGGCATTTTTCTCTATGAGCTTCTCTGCCGATGGCAGCCACACAAAGTTTCCAGGACAATCTCTTTCCACAGTGTCCTCCCTCCGCACTCCTCACCCGTCCTCCTAATCCCCCACAATGAATAACTCTGCGATCCCTCTTCTGTAAACAAACTTTTGTGTGACTGTATCCATGCTGCATGCAAGGCAGAAGGATAAGGCTCGCGTTCATTTGTGCACCCCTGGTTCGGTATGTGATTTGTATGCACTAGCTCTTTGAGAAAAAAAAAAAGATCTGGGGGTTCTAACATTTCTGTCAGCAGTAGAAAACTTGAAAAAGAGCAGTTGGCTATTGACTGTAACTGCTTGTCAGGAAGTATACAGAAGCATAATATCTAGAAGGAAGAACTGTGCCTTTATTCATTCCATGCAAGACCTGCCCTCACTTAATCCACCCAGAAACCCTATGGATCTCTCTCTTCTGGTGTTACAGATGAGCAGCCTGAGGTTCAGCCCATCTGCCCCAAGTTATCTGGTGTATGTAATGGCTGGCATATTAATATGCTTCTCTGAATCCAGAATCTGCTTCCTTACAAATCACCCCTGACCAAACAAGCAAACAAGCAGAAAAACAAAGTTCACATCCTCTAGTTAAAGGAGCACACAGCCAACCGACAAATCTAGCTTTCAAATAACAGGTCTTTTTGTCCTGAGATTTTTTTTTTAAGTTTGACTAAATAAAGGTAAAAAATAATGTTTTGGCTGCTAGATAGGAGACTAATTTACACTTAAGTGATACTAATTTTCTTTGGCCATTTTTTCCCCCTACATTTTCTGAGTTTAGAAGATGCAAGAGGCATATTCAAAAAGTTTACAGAAAATATGTATTATGAGAAATACATGCGAGGGTTTCAAGATTTTTGAACCGAAATATCCCTATCGTTTAATTCTTTTCCTCACCAACTTTCCAAAGTGCTTTGTGTCTGTGCTTTCCCAAACTCTTAAAATACAATACACTTGCATGACATCATAAGTAAGTCCAATACCTGCATGGAGGACTTTCTTCAACAGCATCACAAGCACGCCCATTTATCACTGATTTCTTCTTATTAATTCTACAGTCATGCCTTGGCCCCAGCACCAATTAGTTCTCAATAAATGCATAGCAAGACAGTGAATTTTGATGAACAGAAATTCTGATTAATACATGCATTTTCAGTTTCTATTTTGCTGCCATTCTCTAGAAAAATCTTTTCTGCCTGATTAGGTTGTGACACCTGACTATCTAGACAACATTCAGTCATTTCAATAAAATCTGATACGTTTCTGGTATGATTGGAGATGTTTTCATTTTGACTTTAAAATCTATCGATGAGAAATGTATTATATTTGAACACAAGTATGGAGTGGCGAAAGACTTGAGAAATCATTCAGCCCAAACCCTCCTATCACAGTCACCATTTTAAAGATGAGGTCACTGGGACCTACAGTAATGAAGAAGTGTGCGGAGAAGTTTAGGCACTGGCCACGGCCACAAAAAGTGAAGTCATAACATGGGTGGGATTTCCTTCACTTGTTCCAGGGCCAGTTACTCCACACCAAATGGAGAAGAGAAAAGTACTATGTGACCCCTTAAAGCCCACTGCTTTTTTTAAAGATTTATTTTATTTTATTATTGGAAAGTCAGATATACAAGAAAGGAGGAGAGACAGAGAGGAAGATCTTCTGTCTGCTGATTCACTCCCCAAGTGACCACAACGGACAGAGTTGAGCCAATCCAAAGAAAAGAGCCAGGAGCCTCCTCCGGGTCTCCCACACAGGTAGAGACCCAAGGCCTTGGGCTGTCCTTGACTGCTTTCCCAGGCCACAAGCAGGGAGCTAAATGGGAAGTGGGGCCACAAGGATATGAATCGGTGCCTATGTGGGACCCGGCACTTGTAAGGCAAAGACTTTAGCTGCTGGGCTACCACCCTGGGCCGAAGCCCACTGTTACTAAATTACTAATTTATTGTTTAAAAATAAATTATATACATATATAAATTAACATTAGTTTATGAAATATGTCAATTGTTTAGAAATCAATTAATTTTAAAATTACTATTTATCAATTGATTTATTTATAAATTGTTATTTAAATTTATATTATAATAAATTTATAAAGTTAGATATTTAAGTACATTCTGTGATTCTTTTCACTAAAGGAAACTTGACAAAGTGCTTCAGAAAGGAACTTCAGAGAGGACTCCCAGCAAGGGGGCAGGGTGGCATTACGCGTCGTCTGGCAAACTCACTTGTTTCCTTCCTTTTCCCCGTTGTACCACCAGTCCAAGATCAGAGACTCAGAATAAAGGGTTTGCACTTTCTCCAGGTCGCTGTATCCCTGCTCCATTTCCTGAACTAAAAGAGTCACATCTTCATTCTGCCCAAAATGAGAAGTGAATATTTTATGAGATTGTGTGAGAGTTCAAAGTTTAAAATGCTGAGAAAGTCAACTGTCTCAAGAAAACAATCTAAACAGGTTCATGTAACTCTTAAATGTACCTCATTTTGGCCAGCTTCATTGACACAGAATTCACATACAAGAAACCAAACAGGTGCGTAAAGTACATCACTGTAAAGTTCTGACATTCATGCAATGGAATCATTACAGTCAAGACAATGAACATAACCATCACCGCCCCCACATTTCCCTTGTACCCCATTTGCATGAGTATCTATTTTCCCATAAAGTTCCTGTCAATCTTCTTTGATCCTGCTACTCTGGTCTCCATTACATCCTTTGTGAGATTACAAGTGTATACTTATTTACCTTTAAATCTTTGTGTTTTGTATTTTGGATGGAGGTTGTCATGTCAGAGCCAAACATGTATTTGTCCCTTTGGGGTTGGCTCATTTCACTGAGCATAATGGTCTCCTGTTGGGACCACTTGGCTGCAAACAGTGGAATTTCGTTCTTTTTAATAGCTGAGTAGTATTCCATCAGGTAGATGCACCACAGTTTCTTTATCCAGTCCTCCTTCAATGGGTATTTTGATTGTTCATGATTTTGCAATGGTTCATTGTGCTACAATGAATACAGGAATGCAGGTTGCTTTTTTCATATGTATGTACAGTTCTTTTGGATATATTCCATGAGTGGCATTGCTGCGTTATATGGTAGGTGAGTTTTCAGTTGCCTGAGCATTCTCCATACCAACTTCCACAGTGGCTACACCAGTCTACAGTCCCACCAGCAGTGGATTAAGTTACCTTTCCCCCACATTCTCAACAGCAAGTGTTAATTTTCTGTATGTATGCCATTCTCACTGGGGCTAAAGTCCTCGCCTTGCATGCATCAGGATCCCACATCGGCGCCAGTTCTAATCCCAGACGCCCTGCTTCCCATCCAGCTCTCTGCTTGTGGCCCGGGGAAGCAGTCGAGGATGGTCCAAAGCCTTGCAATCCTGACCCACATGGAAGACTTGGAAGAGGCTCCTGGCTCCTAGCTCCTGGCTTCAGATAGGCGCAGCTCCAGCTGTTGCGGCCACTCGGGGAGTGAATCAGCAGACAGAAGATCTTCCTCTCCATCTCTCCTCCTCTATGTATATTTGACTTTCCAATAAAAAAAATCTTTTAAAAAAAAAGTGTGCTAAATTTACTCAAAAGCATTTTTGTGTAAGTTTATTTGACCTCAAATCTTTTTAAAGTACATTAATAAAACATGTAATAAAAGTGAATTACATGTTGATTTTCAAATGTTAGTTGGAAACAGAGTTCTTTGAGAAACCTGATCTAGTCATGACATATCACACTTTTTTTTTTATCATTCTTTGATTTGCAAAATTTTGTTGAGAATGTTTGAATCTATATGAAGGTGGAATGTTAGCCCACAAATTTGTTTTCTTATAATAGGTAAATTTAATATTAGCCATGTAGGAGATGAGAAGAGATTCCTCTTTTCAAATTTCTGGAAGATTGTTGAAATTGTTTCCCCTTAAACGTTTGGTACAAATCAACAATGAAGTTAAATCAGACTGGAGTATCCTTTGTGGAAAGAATTTTACCTAAAAATTTAATTTTTTCAATAGATGTAGGATATTCAGGTTTTATACGAACATAGGCTTTTTTTTTCTCTGAAGTTCATGTCCAAGATACTTATCTATAATGTGATGATTAGATAAGGGAGGCAAGCATTAGCATCATTCGAAATGTGCGGTTTCTTTGTATTATGAACACCCAAGGTCTTCTAGCTATTCTGAAATGCGCAGTAACATACTGTTGATGGCAATTATCCTGCCCTACTATGGCAGAACTCTAGAACTTATTTCTCCTCAATCTCTAATTTTTTTTTTAACCCAAGAACAAATCTCTCATGAACTTCCCCTCTCCCTTACCCTTCCCAGTCTTTGAGAAGCACAGTCCTACTCTACAATGGCTAGACCAGAACTTGAACATACAAATGAGAACATTCAGTTTTCTGTCTTTCTGGGTCAGGCTTATTTCACAGGTTCACCTATGATGCCACCAATGACAGAATCTCATCTTTTTGTATGGCTGAGTAACATTGTATTGTGTGTCTCATCTATGGATGGACACTTAATTCAAATTTTGGCAAATCTGGGCAACTGGGAGTGTAGTTATCTCTCTGATATATTGATTTCCTTTGTCTAAAGCATACATAACCAGCAACAGTATACATACATTCCCACCAAACAGTATCTGAGTTGCCTTTTTGTACATTCTTCTTAATGTTATTTTTTTTCATATTAGCTACCTATTTGAAGTGAGATGATATTTCATGGTTTTAACAGACATTCCCCCAGTGATTACTGCTATTGAACATTTTTTTTCATATAGCTGTAGGTCCTTTTTCCTTTCTTTCTAGAAATGTGTATTCAGATCACTTCCTCTTTTTTGAAAAAATTTTTAAAGATTTATTTTTTATTAGAAAGTCAGGTTTACAGAGAGAAGAGACAGAGAAAGATCTTCCATCAGCTGCTTCACTCCCCAAGTGGCCACAAAGACCAGAGCTGAGCCAATCTGAAGCAAGAAGCTTCTTCCGGGTCTCCCACGTGAGTGCAGGGTCTCAAGGCTTTGGGCCATCCTCGACTGCTTTCCCAGGACGCAGGCAGGGAGCTGGAAGGGAGCTGGGATTAGAACCAGTGCCATTTGAGATCATGGCCCATGCAAGTTGAGGACTTTAGCCACTAGGCTACTATACAAGGTCCCGCTTCCTCTTTTATAAATGATATTACTTATTCTTTTAGCTGTGTATTCCTTATAGACTCTGAATATTACTGTCTTATCAGATTAATAGTTTAAAAACATTTTCTCCCATTCTGTAGGGGTTCTCTTAACTCTATTTCCTCTAATGTGCAGAAGGTGAAACTGGGTGACTATATTAAGCCCGGGCTGCATATTTCTTTCTACCACATGAAAGGGTGAAGGTGCTTATAATCAAGTATCTCCCTCGTCCTAAATCAGGTCAATTCTACTCAAGTAGTTCCTCCCGAGGGTAGGACTTGCTAAGAACAAAAGGCTGTGCTGTGTTTCAAGGCGGTTCCCTCCCCTCTACCCTGTAGCTCTCAGGGCCCTCCTATAATTTTTCTCTCTCAGATTCATTCATAGTGAACCTCCAAGCAATTCGTCAAGTGTAATTCTGATTTCATCACCTTGTGACTGCTGTTCTTGTGGGGCACTTTTTTTCTGCCAAGGGCCATGTAGATATTTCTTATGTTATTTGCAAGCCATGCAAAATTATCAACTAAAAATAAAATTAGGGGCTTGGCACGGTAGCCTAGCGGCTAAAGTCCTCACCTTGCATGCACCAGGATCCCATATGGGCGCTGGTTCTAATCCTGGAGGTCCCACTTCCCATTCAGCTCCCTGCTTGTGGCCTGGGAAAGCAGTCGAGGATGGCCCAAGGTTTTGGGACCGTGCACCCACATGGGAGACTCTGCACCCGCGTGGGAGACCCTGCACATCACATGGGAATAAGCTCCTTGCTCCTGGCTTCAGATTGGCTCAACTCCAGCTGTTGAGGCCGCTTGGGGAATGAATCATTGGACGGAAGATCTTCCTCTCTGTCTCTCCTCCTCTCTGTATATCTACTTTCCAATAAAAATAAATAAATCTTCTTCTAAAAAATAATAAAACAAAATTAGCCTGCTATAGATTTATTGAATTTTGAATTCATGAAGTTGCCTTGGTAGGGCCAGGCCAAATGACTTGGTAGGGCCAACTGCCAAATGCAGTTGACTTGGTAGGGCTTTATATGGACATCCCCCGGCCAGCATGGTTCAGTTTGTGGGTTTGCACATTGGTTTCTTCTCTGTAGTCACCTATAGGCCTTTCCAGTTGGGGGTGGAGAGTGGGGGAAGTGGTTTGCCCTGTTAACCTTAGTTCTCTTGTGACTGTACAAAAAACTGTTGATTTTTTTTCAGTGTAAGTTCTGCTTTGTACCTGTTAATAGGACAGAGTGGTTATTTCCAAGCATCGTACATGCTAGATCACAAACCATGCTGATTCTTCCTTCTTAGAAGTTTTATGAGTTCAATTTTTTTTCTTGATGCTAATGCTTTCACAATGTCTGTTTTACCTTGACATATTTTTTCAATTACACTTTCTGAGTAAGTGGTGCTACTTTTCTCTATTTGGTTAAATAAATGTATGAAGGCAAAGTTGTTGTATTTTATTGTTTTAATGGCTGCAAGATCTGTGGTGAGGTCAGTCTCGTCTCCTATTGAAGTCCTGCTGTGAGTGATTGTTGCTGCTCTTTTTGGGATTCAATCTTCAAAGAGGTTTTATTCATTCTTAAAGTTTTTTTTTTCTCCCAAAGAGAGAGATTTTTCTCTTTTTTTGTATTCCTACTGTCAATTTCATTGATTTCTGCATATATATTTATTGGTTTTTTTCCTTCTATATTCTTTGGGTTTAATTTGCTGTTCTTGATCTAAGGGTAGGAACTTTGATTTTTCATTCAAAATGTCCTTCATTTCCCACATGAACATTTGGTACTATCAATTTTACTCAAAGTACCATTTTAGCTGCATTTTATATGGCTTGATTGTTGTGTTTTTGCTTTTAAGCACTTTTTAAAATTTCCTTTCAGACTTCCTCTTTGACACCATAGGTTATTCAGGACCGTGCTGCTTAAATTCTGTCTGTTTCCATATGTTGCTGCTGTGCTTGTATTATTAATTTTTAGTTTGATTCCACTATGGTCAGAAAATGAATTCTTTATGATTTCAATTATATCATATTAGCTGAGGTTTATATGATGTTGCAGTTTATGGCCAAACTTGATAAATATTTAGTTAGCACTTTTGTGACAGAGTGGTTAAACCTTTGTCAATTAAATCCAACTGACTGACTCTGCTGTTCATATATTCTTCATCCTTGGTTATTTCATGTCTGGAAGTTCTTTCACTTGTTAAGAGGTAGATATTGAGGTTTCCAACTATAATGTTTTTGTCGACTTCTGTTTTTATTCTATCAGTTTTGGATTCATACCTGTACACACATTTAGAGCACTGGTGTACTAACTTCATTATTAGGTTAACTTTCTTTGTCCCAAAGTCTGTTTTATTAAATACTATATTTGTCATTCCAGCATTTCATTTATATTTGCATAATACATATTCACAGATCATTTTAGTTGCATCTATATATGTCACGGTTGAAGTGAGTTTCTTGTAAGCAGCATATGGTTTAGTGATAATTCTTTTATGTACTCTGCAAATGTCTTGACTAATATAATTAGATCATTTAAAGAAATTATCAATATGTTAGCACGCACTTCTGTTATGAATTGTTTTTTCTCTGGTTCATTCCTCTGTTTTTCTTTCCTTGTTTTTTTTTCTTCTTTTTTTCAGGTTAGCTGAACTTTAAAAAAAATTCTATTTTGAGTTATTTATAGTGTTTTTGTGTTTAGCCCTTTGTAGAGTTTTTGTAATAGTTTTCTTGTGCATGACAGCATATGTATATGATTTATAACTGTCTACTAGTTCAACATTTTATGACCCTGAGGGAAATGTGAAAAGCTTACTTCAATTCAGACCCCTTTAACTTCTCAGTATTAAATAGCATTGTCTTGAATATCAGATGTGTTAAAAAAATGTTTCAAACATCAAATATTACATATACATTTCATGAGGAAATAGGTCTATTACATTTACCAATATTTTGTTCTTATCCTCCTCCTGACACACCAAGATTATTCCATCTTTTATTATTACTTTTGTTTGAAAAATTCCCTGCAGCCAAGCTATCAGAGCAAATCTTCCAGTAATGATTTATTTTTAATTTATCTGTGGATATTTTTATTTCCTCTTCATTCAAGAAGGATAGTTTTATGAGATATAAAATTTACAGTTGATAGTTATTTTCTTTCCAACTTGGAAAAATGCTGTGCTTTCCGCCCCCTCTACTTGCCATCTTGGCTTTGGATAAGAGACCTACTGTCAAATTTGCTGGTGAAGTGCTGCCATTTCTTTCTGGATGCTTCCAAGATTTGTTTTATTTATCTCTAATTTTCAAATGTTTAACTATCTTACCAGGGACTTCTTAGGATTTATCCTGCTTGGAATTGATGAGCTTTATAAATGTGTGTGATTGTGTATATTTTTTAAAGATTTATTTATTTATTTTTATTACAAAGATTTCCACTTGGAAACTTTTTGCAATTCCTACTTATTTGCTAAGATTTCTCTCTTTGTCCACTCGTTTCAAGAAAATCTATAATTGGCTGTTGAAGTATTTATATGACAACTTCTATAAAGTCCTTGTCAGGTAGTTCCAATATCTAATTCATCTCAATGTTGGCATCATTAGGCTTTTATTGTTCAAGTTGTGATTTTCTTATTTCTTAGTATGATGGGTAATGCTTTAAGAAACTATCCTGGGCATTTTGTCTATTAGTTTAGAAGACTCTTGATCCTATTTAAAATCTCTTATTTTAGTTAGCAGTTGCCCTGTTTAAATTTAGTATATGAGACTTGTCCTATTTTTGCAGGGGTTTGCTTCAGTGAGAGTTTAATTTACAGAGCCTTTTTGGGATTGGCCACTTGACTCCAGCCTGGTTCTTGCTGGTGCTTGGTGACTGCAGGAGCAGAGAGGGTTTCCTCCAGTAAGGCTAGCAGAAGTCTATGGTGAGTGCATTGCTATCTCCCAGGTGTACCCAAGTGAGTGGCCTACAGAAACAGAGTTCCCTGGAATGGGCCGTGTGCTCTAGCTGAGTCCCTCCTGCCTGTTCTTCCCACTCATCCTGGTGTGTCTCTGAAGGGAGCAAAGTCTGACGCCTGAGTCACCTGCAGCTGTGTCCCTCTGCCTACCCACACATCACCCAAGGTAGACAGATTTTCTAGTGCATTTTGTATGTCTAAGAGCTAAACTTTCACACCTAAACATCATAGCTAATCTTCCCTTTCACTCTGGCACGCCTATGTATCTGGTAAGTTTTTACAGCTTTTTTCATCAAGGTGGTTATCAGTGCAGCCAGGGTCAGGAGAGTTTAGCTCTCTTTTTAGGAAGAGTTATTTCCAGTTTGTTCATGGGTGGAGCTCCTGTGGGTAGGGATTTAACAGCCTACTGAGAAACCACACTTAGCACTACCTCCTTCCTCTCATTGTGCCGGATGAGGGTGGAAGCTCAGCAATCCCCAGGGCCCCGCTGTCCCTGCGAGGAGGACCATAGCAGATGTTAGGGCAGGTTCACATTTAGTCACTTACTCTCATGCTATTGAATGGATGTGGAATTTCAGCTTCTCATCAAGCCTCATTCACACCAGGGAAAGGACGCAGGTGGGGTGCTGTCTACCCTCAAATCACGCTTCCTTTTTCATTTCCATTGATGTCTGGATGTTTGTGTCAACTCAGCTCCTTGCCGAGTTCTGCCAACATGAGGACTCTGGTAAATCATAGTAGTAATTAGACCGGCCTTGCCTTGCCTTGCCTTGTGAAGGCTCAGTGTTGGCAGGTAAGAGTATCCATGGACACCCCCTGGTGGGCAAATTGGCATACTGCCTACTTCCACCTCAGAGAGGAAGTAAGATCACCTTCTCAACCAGTCTCTCTGAGTCAACCCTGGCATAGGAACAGCAGCAATATCTGCCTTTGCCTGGTGGGGAATAATGAGTCAGCCTGGGATTCATAAATGTCTTGAGTCAATGAATTTATAGTTTTAATCCAATTTGGAAAAATTTTGGCTGCTACTGCTTCAATCACATGTTTTGTAGCTTACTTAAATCTTCTCACAGTTTGCTAATATTGTTTTCTTAAATGTGTTTTTTGTTTGACTTCTCTTTCTGTGCTCGCGTTGGCAGCACATATACTAAAATTAGAATGAATTATCTTTCATTGCTGTGTTATATTTTTTATAATTTCAATTGCTGCTTCCCAGTTCATTCATCCTCAGTTGTGTGGTTTTGAATCCACTGTTCATCGCTTGTATTTTTTATCTCACAACTTGTATTTTTCACTTCTGTAAGTTTATTTTGTGACTAAGTCACTTCTCCCTTTCCATGTCTCTCCCTACTAACATTGCAGCCATTTGGGTAATGAATCAGCAGAAGGAAGATCTCTCTCTCTCTCTCTTAATCTGCCTTTCAAATAAAATAAATAAATACGTAAATCTTTAGTATTTCAGTTTTCTTTTTTCTTCCCATTATGGGACTATGTTTTCCCACTTTTTGAATGCCTGGTAATATTTGGCTGATTCTACACATCGCCAGCTTTACTTTGTAGTAGCGAATGATTTTGTTTTCCAATAATTGTACTCGGGATTTGTTCTGAGGTGCAATTAAGTTATTTGCAAACAGTTAGATCCTTTGAACCGTGTGGTCAGGATTTCACAGGTTGAATTAGAGCAATGCTTCATTTTTTCTACTGCTGAGGAAAGACTCAATACCAAAAGGATTGTGAAGTTCTGCAGTCTGGCTGACGGGAGCAGCCACTACTCCCGCTCCTGTGGGAACTCAGAGCACTGTTCCCTCCAAACCTTTTGAATAGTTCATTTCCCAGAAACAGGTAGCTTCCCCAGGAAAATCGCTGACCGGTACTTTATCTTGTCCCGGCACCCACTTCACACATATTTAAAGTGACTTCTCGGGCCTGGCGCGGTGGCACAGTGGTTAAGGTCCTTGCCTTGCACGCCCGGAATCCCATATGGGCGCTGGTTCTATCCCGGCAGCCCCGCTTCCCATCCAGCTCCCTGCCTGTGGCCCAGGAAAGCAGTCAAGGACGGCCCAAAGCTTTGGGACCCTGCACTAGCGTGGGAGACCTGGAAGAGGCTCCTGGCTTCGGATCGGCATAGCATCAGCCGTTGCACTCACTTGGGGAGTGAATCATCGGACGGAAGATCTTCCTCTCTGTCTCTCCTCTCTGTATATCTGCCTTTCCAATTAAAAAATAATAATAAAAATAAATCTTTAAAAAAAAAGGTGAATTCTCAGGACATAAAATAAGAAAAAAAAAAACCCACTCTCTCAAGAAAGATATAAGGGTATTTGTAAAACACACTTTGGCAGGCCAAGATCAGAGGACTGGAGAAGAGATCTTTTATTTACATTATCTCATTTACCTATTAGAAAGAACTGCTTTATCAAAAGCACTCTCATGGTTATATACTATAAGAAGTTTAGAGACAATTACCTAAAAGTCAGAGGACATTTCTGAGCTTCCCACAAATATCTGTATCCAACATAGTTAACAAACTTTATTTTTGCAATTCTTAGGATCTTTGTCAAAAACACAGATTTGGCAAAAAGTTGATAATCATTCACTTTGAATGATGGTATGTGAGGGCCCATACATTTGAACTTTTGTATATGTTTGAGGATCCTACAATCAAAATTTTAGGGAAAAAGCTAAGACATATTAATTAGGATTTCTGAGCTTCTATGCTCACATGCTGACTTAGCAGCAGGGAAGTATCTGCATTGCCACTATTACTCTAGCTCAGGTCACCCTTTGATTACATCTTAAGAAGTACCGGTACACTCACTGCTGAGTGGTTAATCTTCTCCCTTTGTACTCCTGATTTTCCCAACTAAGGTGATGTCTGGGGCATCTATCTTACAGTGAGAACACCCTTCTCAGCCCATCAAGCTTTTACCTGAATAGATTCAGCAGGAAGAGGATCCTTGGCACCAAAATTGTAAGAACGGAATTCTCCTCCAGTCAAAGAAGCAAGTTCTTTCAAAAATATATTTGCTATCTCATCATTGTAGTTGAAAGAGATGGCATAAATGGGGATTTTCTGAAAAATTCTGACTTGATCCAGAACCATTTCAGGTGGCTGAAGTGGCAAGTTTTAGAGAGAAAAGGGGAGATGCAAAGAGAAAGAAAGAGGGGGGGAAAAAAAAGACATGAAAATCCTTAGTATTTGGTATAGGTCATGAAATTCTCACATACTAGTTCATTATATAGTGGCAAATAGCTCTTGTAAGTGTGTCAATTCAATTCAATAAACAAAGCAAATGTTCGTAGGCAGGGAGCATACAAAGACCAATGAGACACAGCCCTTCCAATCTGGGAGTTCAGGCTTTGGTGGGAAAAGAAAGCTAGGAGAAAGATCTGACTAACCAAATCACTCACCTGTAGGTCACATAAGCTTAGAGTTTGTACTTGTTAAGTGTTGGGTTGTGTTTTAGGTCATCTGAAGTACTGGGGTCAGAAGCCATGGACAGAACATCCTGACCACTGGGATTCCAGAAAGTATGGTCTCTGAATTCTTACTATGGCTTCAAAAGCATCTCCAAACAAGCAGGAATTTCCTCCTCCTAACATTGCTATGGGCAGCTTGTTTCCCACAGAGGACAAGGGAAGAGACTTTATTGAGCATCCTTCTAGTATCCTTTGAGGATGCTGATCTACTTAACACTAACAAGCACCTTGTGAGGTAGTCATGGGAAAATTGCTAAATGGAGATTACGCTCCTTTTTATTCTCAGAAACCTGGTTTCCTTTTCATAGAAGCAATGTTCCAGTTTAAAAAAAATACAACAACAACACAGAGACACACACGCAAGATCTAGTATCTGAGACATTTTGGCAGCTGAAGCTAGCCTTGTGAACTAGTCTTGGCAAGGTAAGACACAGAGAGAAGGCTCGGGAGAGGGGTTTGTTTTCACCAGACTAGATGTACAAGTCCCCCTCCCTCACCCTCTCCCTCCTTGAAAACAGACACCCTACCTGAAGCAGCTATGCTGTGCAAGTTCTACATAAAGATGGTGAAGCATGAAGTTAAAAAGGAAACCTATTTCTGGGAGACATGCTTAAATAGATGTATAACTGAGCCTAATCACCACTGTGCCCACTGTGCCTCTTATCCGCATAAACAGAACCCCATCCACTGTTTTAGCCAGCCTATGCTTGCTTTTTTTTCTAGGAATATGCAACTGTTATCAACACAGTATGCACAAGAGACGGAAGCTCAGAGAGACCATGTAGTCCTGGGGTCACTAGAAAATTGGAATACAACCCCACTTTCTGGCATTAGAATCAATATCAGATTGTCTGTTCTCCCATGTGGTTTGTATCAACTCTCAGGAAACATCATTTGATACTCAGGAAAGATGAATTCCCCTGCTATGCCCCATCACAGCCGAACCAAGGAGAAAGCATTTCAGATTGTTCTGCCCCACCTTCCATTGTGGGTTTCAGGGCTACGACACCCTCTTCACTGACCCTACTTGCTTGCTCTGTTAGCCATTTCCTGCCCTTTGACCTTAAACCTTTCCTCATACATTTTCCCCTGGAGTCCTGGGAACGTAAGGTTATGAAAGAAAAAGAGAACTCTAGGTTCATGACATGCTGGCCTTGTGCTAGTGTGCACACGTGCACACTACACACACACACACACATACACACACAGCCTAGAGAAGATGACAGTTAGATGGTCTTCAAGGGTCTGTTTTCAACCCAGCCATCATTTACACCCAGCCATGTTCCCTGTGGCTGCAGTCTCAAGCACATTCCTGCCTGTAAGTTCATCATCACCATCATTCTCCTCTCTCTTTTCACCATCATCTAGTTCCCTACTAAACATCAATCCAACCTAGATGGTTAGCTAAAGAGCTGGCCCCATTTATCTCATCAACTGCCAGGAGAAAGCAAAGCCTTTCACTGCTGCCTCCCTCTCTTCACCTCAGCTTCCATTGCTGGGCTCCTGATGCTCATAGACACTAAGAGTTCTGCTATGTCTTTGCTTGCATCCTTTCTACAACAATTTGACATGATTCATACTATCACTAATGCCCCCCTTTTTTCACTAGGGACTGCTGGCTAATGCCCACCATTCCCACAGTCTAGACCTATATACTGTTGGTTTGATATACTGCTAGCCATAAACTACTCCTACATTGACTTACAGGTGAGTTGTTTGGGAAAGGAAAGAAACACTGATTTAGTACTGTGTGGGTACCACACAGCTGGGGATGAGCATCTGCTCTTAGAATTATTTCCATCAGTCCACACAGCAAAAAAGAAAAGTGACTATCACATGCCTTGTTGCAAGCCCCTACTCGTACCCTGCCCCAGGTGGCCCCTCTGTACTATACCTACATGATGTTCCAGTGCCCCCATGTAGCTTGGGAAAGCTGGACAGAGGGTGGGCTGCACTTAACTGCAGAGGGGGCTCCATTTCAGCAAGGGGAAATAGCCACTGCTGTGCTCCCATGTCCCCAGGAAGTTTGAAAAGCAGCAGTAGCTCTAAGTTGAAGTAAACATCCCATCTCTCAGCCTGACTGATCCTGACCCTTCCCTCTACCCTCCTCCAGAAGCTCCTGCAGGATGTGGAGGGGGAAGAGTCACTCCCTGTCCAGCTCCTGTGTAACAGCAAAGAAAGCTTTCTCAGCTCTGGCAGCCCTTAGGACACACCTTGGGAGGCTGCCAACTCCCTCAGGCCCTAAGAGGAGGTCCGGCAGTACAGCTGCATGATTTTCCCTGGGTCCCTCCTCTGAGTCCGATCAGATGTACCAACAGTGGACCTTCCACCACTAACATCAACTTGGAGCAGCAAGGTAAGAACCTGGTTCTCCTTGCTGCCTGAAAGAGCACTGTGGGTGCAAGTTAATTACCCAGTGCTTTGCCGTCTCCCAGCACTCCTACTCAGCCTATTCAGCTTTCTCCACCTGGCTTTGTACAGAGGGTGCAGGTGTCTTACCTCATTCATTTTCTTAATTTCTGTCAGGGCAAGCCCCTAACTTTGACGAAGTCCCCAAATGACCACAGCCAGAGTTGGGCTGGTTTCTGTAGCAGTTCACGACAACACACTCCCACTGATGTCTACTCTATATCTGATTCTCTTTCCATGAAAATTCACTTCTACAATTCCTTTGACTTGAGTAATATCAAGGCTTTATCTCAGTTTATGATGCTACATTATACACTTAATAATCTAGCAACAAGTTGGCATCTACATCTTTCTGTGTTCTTCCAATAGAAATCCTGTCAAATACTTGAAACAGTAACATTGGTCTTACATATTCAGTACCTACAAAGTCAGTGAGAATAATAATAAAGAAAAACTACCAGAGTATAGGCACACCTTAATATATTCCTCATAAAACAGAACTATCAAATGCCAGAGTCTTATTGCTCTTTTGAAGAACTCCAAGAGATAATACAAAATAAATAGACTGCACATGTTAAAAAAACAAATATGAATGCAAAAATTTTTAAGATCTAATCACTTATGGTTAACGTGATTTGCCTATTTAGACACCAACATCATCATGTTCTGATTTGTAAAATGTAAGTGATCACAGACCTGTAAGAATCTGGAGAAATTTTCTGATCTTCTTTCCAGGAAATTGTGAATGTATTTTGTACACACTATTGAGAGATTCCAGACTCTTGCAAGTCCCTGACATACTGTAAATCAAGAGTCCTTCTCAACACACTGCTGGTGGGGGTATTCTTTGCGGGACTATTGGGAGGTATCCAATAGAATGTATGACAATATGGGGGCAGACATTTAGCCTAGCAGTTAAGACACCTATCCTGCATGGGAGAACCTGGGTTCAAAAGGCAGCCCTGGCTCCTAACTCCAGCTTCCTGGTAACTCAAGTCCTGGGGGTTGGCACTGATGGCTCAAATGCTTAGGCTCCTGCCGCTCCTGTGAGAGATGTGAATTCCCACTCCTGGATGTGGTCCAGCTCATCGCCAACCTTTGTGGGCAGCTGGGGAGTGAACCAGGGATGACAGTGCACTCACTCTCTTTCTCTCTGCCCTCCTCTCTCATTTTGTCAGTTCAATGAAGAAATAAAAATTCTTTACATATTTATCTTTTGATATAATTCACTTCTCAAAATTTATACCATATATGTTTAAACTGATGTATCATATAGTTCCTTTTGCAATATTCAGTATAATGGAAGCAAGATTGAAAGCAGTCTAAATGCCCATCTCCAGGAGGATGGGTAAGTAAATGATAGATTAGCCCTATAATAGAACCAAAAAAAAAAGTCCTCTATGAAGTGATAGGATGCAATCTATATTCTTTTATGATTATATATATAATATATTTATATTATGCTAACATTAGTGTTTTTAAATATGTGCAGGTTCATTTCTACTTGCATAATATAAAGTATTTGGAAGGAGATGCAATAAACTGGAGGCGTAAGTTGCCTCTTAGCTGGTAACAGAGCTGAGGAAGAATTCCCTTTAAATGGCCTTTTGTACCTTTATGGTTCACACTATAAATGTATTGCTATCCAAAGTCAATGCTTATCAAAGTCTTATTGACTCTGTTTAGTGGAATATGATGCAGTCATTGAGGATGATGCTTCTCATTTCTCATGACTTGGAAAAATGCATGTAACACATTAGATAAAAAAAAGGAAAGCAAAATTGAATTGTATAAATTTTTCTTTTTATGCTTTTTCTAAACTGCTTGTGGTATAAGCAATTTTTAGAAACCAGCAAGAGTTCATTGAAAAGAAAAAGACTGCCTGGGCACTAGATGACTCTTTTTTTTTTTAAGATTTATTTTTATTATTTTTTTTATTGGAAAGGCGGATATACAGAGAGGAGAGACAGAGAGGAAGATCTTCCGTCCGATGATTCACTCCCCAAGTGAGTGCAACGGCTGATGCTATGCCGATCCGAAGCCAGGAGCCTCTTCCAGGTCTCCCACGCGGGTGCAGGGTCCCAAAGCTCCCGGGCCACAGGCAGGGAGCTGGAATGGAAGCGGGGCTGCAGGGATAGAACCGGCGCCCATATGGGATCCCGGGGCGTGCAAGGCGAGGACCTTAACCACTGCGCCACAGCGCCGGGCCCTAGATGACTCTTAAATTAGAATCTCCAGCACACATCTTTCCTAAACTCCAACCTCACCTGGGTGGCTGAGACGGTCTTGAAAATATTCATCAAAATGTACATTATTAAATATAAATATATATTTATAGAAAATGTGCATATGTATGTATAGTAAATGTGTATTATTAAATATATATTTCAAAATTTCTTGCAATGTAATAAACTTATCTTTTAATTGCACCTATTCATAAGCTTTCTGAAGTTCCCTTTGAATTTCCAAGGATAGCCATGTGACTACAGTTGCATAAATTCAGCTTCCTTCACCAGCAACCCCTAAGCTTGCTCCTTAACTTTAAATCCTTCCAGTGAAATAGTACATGCATCATAAACCAGAACTTGGTCATCTGGACTCCTTTCTGCCCTGTTCTTGCCTTCTCCTTGGACCTGCCACTCCCTGCTCTCCCGCTGGTCACCACATCCTGTCCCATCTCTGAAGACAGTCACCTCCTGCCTGTTGCGCTGCTACTGCCCAAGGCCAGGTCCACACCAGCTCTCGCAGTGCCAGCCTTCTCAAGCTCCTGCTAGGGTTCCTTCCTAATGCACAGATGGATGGGACAAACCAATTCGCCTCTCAGAGTTTATGTGTTTGAAAGACAAAGTTATAGTGCTTGGTGAAAGTGATCTTCCATTCACTGGTCCACTCCCTAAATGGCTGTAACAGCCAGACTTGGGCCAGATCAAAGCCAGGATCCTTGGGCTCCACCTGAGTCTCACACATGGGTGGAATGGGCTCAAGGACTTGGACCATCTTCAGCTGCTTTCCCAAGCCATTAGTAGGGAACTGAATCAGAAGTGAAACAGCTTAGATGGGAAAGAGCACTTATAAGGGATGCTGGCATCACAGATGGCACCTCAATGCCAGCCCCAGGGCCTTCCCTTTCGACAAGGCATTCAAGCACCTTCCCATCAATAACTTTATACCTTACTATGATGTTCTTCCACCACTGCCCTGCCTTCAGCTTACTCTTCCTAGCACCCCCTTGTGCTGCCACATCTCTGCCCTTTCTGTCCAGGACACTAGTGGTCTACCCTGTTCAGGAATTTCCTTCTCCTCCTTCTTGACACAGCTCAAACGTTCCCTCCTCAGTGGAAGCATCTTCTATCTTCTCTCCATCTTATACAGCAGAATTCGTGACTTTGTGCTCCTAGACACAATCAGGGCAATTTGTTCCCTGTATTATATCACAGTTAACTCTGTACATCTACACATTCTCCTGGAACATAAGCTTTCCCTAAGATAGGATCAAGATACTCTGTCCTGGTCGTGTCAAACCTTGGCACCACACATGGAGCATGAGAGACACAATCAACTGCTTCTGAAGGGCAAATACAATGAGGATGGTAGGAAAATCACCCCAAAGCAAAATAAACTTTAAACGCTGCCTCTTTGTCAGGAATGTGAAACTATAGTAAAAATAAATAAATAAATAAAAATAAAATCCTGCTGCTTTACTATTTAGTCCCTGAACCATTTGACGCAGGATATTTTAGGATATTTGCGTAGCAGTCTGCATATGCAAACATTTTATGAGGAAGGACACAGTTGATACTAATTCACTCCGGTGCTTACTTTACATTGTGCTGGCTTGAAAAATCCTTGTATTTATTTAAAGTCTGGAGCACTCATCTTTCATTCACAAAGCTTAAAGACCAAACAGATTCTTCTAAAACTTTTCAGTGATTTTTTTTTTTCCTCAGTCAGGTTAAACAAAACAAAGAACATTTCACTCACTAGAAAGACATGCTTTTGTTTTAAATGAAGAAGAAGCTAAAATTAGAGGTAAAACCTGTGACATTGTGCACTGACATGTTTAGATTCAGAGTTCTCAGAGGGGAAAAAAAAATGAAAGAATCTCCTCCCCTGCTCTCAGTCTGTAATAAAATAGAAGCCAGTGTTCAATGAAAAGCAGACCTCTGTCTTGGCGTTGGTCTCCAGGCCTGTGTGCGTCATATTAACCAGACAACTCCACTGTCACATAAATTCTCTGCAGGCTGACCCTAGACAAAAGGGGTCCTTTGTGTGTTTTCCCATCCTGTTCTGAGCCTCCAGGTCAAAGAAGCCTAAACAGTTCTCAATGTCCATTGAAAGAGCCCCATCCCCATCCAAACCCACTCTGAGCATTCATTTTTGTTTCTTATTTTGCTCAGTACCTGATCAGGTCTCCCATCTGTTAGAAGGTAGATGGCCTGTGTTTCTTTATCAGCAAAAGCAATCTGTAGGGCATTCAGGGTGTTTGTGGTACTTCCAACCTGCAGAAAAGAGAAAGGACATATTTGAATCTCATCAAGAAGTGGAACTAAATTTCTACTTCCAGAAAGAAAAGAAAGACAGGATATTGATAAACCAAAGACAAATTAGGACTATGCTGAAATAATAACTATAGCCCAGGGAATCTAGGAAACAACATCTCTAGGTATGCTATAAAAGTCTATCCTGGGGCCCAGCATGATGGCTCAGTGGCTAAATCCTTGCCTTGAACGAGCTGAGATCCCATATGGGTACTGGTTTGTGTCCCAGCTGCCCTACTTCCCATCCAGCTCCCTGCTTGTGGCCTGGGAAAGCAGTAAAGGATGGCCCAAGGCCTTGGGATCCTGCACCCACATGGGAGACCTGGCTTTGGACTGGCTCAGCTCTGGCTGCTGTGGCCACTTGGGGCGTGACCCAGTAGACAGAAGATCCTTTTCTCTTTCTCTCTTTCTCTCTATAAATCTACCTTTCTAAGAAAAAAATTTTTTAAATACATATTTAAAAAATAAATACATCTTTAAAGTTTCTACCCTGGCAGTCCAAGAACTTTGAGAAGTCGGAACTGAAGATATCCTGTCTTGAGAGATCTTAATGTAATTTTGTCTCTGTGTATTTTTATGCAATGCCAACTCTTTTATTGTTCACTCAGCTGCCAATGGAACTTAAACACATAGCGTGCATATACTCTGGTAGGGATTATGTTTGTTTCAAACCAGGATTTATTCATGACACCAATATTTACCAAATATGAGTGCAGCATTGTTAGCAACATAACAGACACATGGACATATGTAATATGACCTGATTTCACACAGGCCTAGTGGAATATATCTTCAAGTGCAGGTATATAATCCTCATGTGAAGACATGAGGTTAAATAGAAGACTCCAAATATTTTGCTTTAGTTATGACAGGAATAAATAAACAAGAAATTGTTGAAATCAAACTAAAAACAATCAAAAGGAGTAAGTTATCGCTCAATGTCTCTCTTACACATAGTTTCAATAAAAATACTCTCCATGGACCTGGTGCGGTAGCCTAGCAGCTAATGCACTCATCTTGCATGCCCGGATTCCCATATGGGCCCCAGTTCTAATCCCAGCAGCCCTGCTTCCCATCCAGCTTGTGGCCTAGCTTTGGGACCTTATACCTACATGGGAGACCCGGAAGAGGCTCCAGGCTCATGGCTTCAGATCAGCTCAGCTCTGGCTGATGTGGCCACTTGGGGAGTGACTCAGCAGACAGAAGATCTTCCTATTTGTCTATCCTTTCCTCTGTATATCTGACTTTCCAATAAAAATAAATAAATCTTTTTTAAAAATCCACAAACCATCTTCATATAAAAACAAAATTCATAGAATATATACATTGCATATCAAGAGAACCTAATGATAGGTTTGTGGCTATATGAAACAATACAAATTAGAAAATCTCCAGAATACTTAATCAACATGGAAAGGAATTAGTATTTGGATAAATATAAATTCACTGGAATGTATTCTCTGTAACACGTAAAATGACCCATACCGGAATGTCAGGAATAAGATACAGAGGACTCTGAGCTGTCCAGAAGGTGCCTGAACTTCCTCTTCATCTCAGTTTGAGTATCTCAGTAAGCAAGAAAACCCACTGTGATCAGCTGAATTTATGTAAAGGGCAAGAGTCTGGATCACAGGCTCAACAAGAGGGCATGAGAACCTCACTTGGGACCTCCTACCTGAAGCAAGATCCCAAATCCTACTGCAGAGCCGCCTGGCGGGGCCTCAGCAGCCCCAACACTAAGCACTGGAGCTAGACTTGCCCACTGTTGACACGGGGAGCATCAGCCATGAATCAGTGGCAGCCTGAGCTATATCCACCTGTATCCATCACCACTGCCACACTTCTACTTGTTAGGCCCACCACTTTGGGTCATTGTCTCTCAAATCAAAATGCAGAGGTTGGCACAAGTGCTGTGGAGAAGTGGGTTAGCTGCGGCTCCAGACACCAGCGCCCCACATCAGAGTGCTTGGGTTCTAGTCCCATCTTCACTAGATCAGAGAATTCAGTTTCGTGTTAATGTATCAGGGAGACAGAGGCTCACGGCCCAAGTACTTGAGTTCCTGTCGCCCATGTGAGAGACTGGATGGAATTCCTAGCTCCTGGCTTCTGGTTGGCCCAGCCCTAGTTGTTAAAGGCATTTGGAACAGGAACCAGTGGATGGAAGATTTCTTTCTCTGTGCTCCGGTCCATCTATCTCCCGCACCCATCGTTCTGCCTTTCAACTAAATAAATACGACTTTAAAAAAAGTCTAAATGTTATTTTGATTGATGGTACGTGGGTCACATTTCTCATACTTTTATGAAAAGGCCATTAGAACTTTCAACATCTGTAGAGTGAACAGGCTTGTTTTCAGAGCAAGGCGGCCGATTGACAGCCAGAGGAATGAAAAATATCCAATCTCTCCACCCAACACATCTCCAGATCCTCACAAAATGCCTTAGATGCTCCCCACATTGAATTCCTTGCACCCAGACACACATGGGAAATTCTAAGCTCTGACTCATCTAGTTGTTTTCACATGGGCCTCATTAATTTGGCTTTATTCCCTTCCATTCCAGCAGATATTTAGTAGCACTTAAGTACCAAATGCCCAGCATTTTGAAAGCTCTGGGACATAACTTACAAAACCAGATCAAACTCTTTATCCTGAGTGGGGCTTCACAGAATGGTGCTGCAGGCCAAGGAAATCGCCACCCAATTCTAAGCAAAAAGCTATAACAGATCATGCCCGGTGTAGGATGTATCTTGCTCTGAGTGGGAAGCTAAAGGCAACTCATGGTGAAGAGGGTGGAGTAGATTATTAAAAGATGAGCATTTTGGGTGGGTAGATGCAGAAATGACAGTAGGCGCCCCAGGTTACTATCTTGTTCCTGATTCACCAGGTCGTTCCACACTGCCAAAGTTCTTACAATAAGAAAGCACAGAAAGCGATAGTGGTGACAACCATCATGAACCAAGATCTATTCCCCAGCTGAAGGCAAAGCCTAGATTACCTTGTGCCTACACAAGTGTTACACTGCTGGAAGAAACGCTCCCACTGCCAGTAGCTGGTGGGCATTCTAAACCTGGTTAGTGCCAAATTTGCATTAGCAATACAAATATACCAGTGTAGTTGCTTGTTCTTTTCTTCTCTCTCTCTCTCTTTCTCTCTCTCATTGTTGTTTTTTGTTTTTGGAGATAAGTGAATGCTGGGCCAGGACATGCTTCTCTGGTCCCTATGTGGGGAGGCTGCAGAATGCCCAGGGAAGGGGGTCAGGAGATGTATTGCAGTGGGAGCAGCTGAGGGCATGTTAACAAGGGAGGAGTGAATCCTGGGGTCTTCCCAGGACTGGGCCCCTACACTTGAAGGTAATTGGGGGAGCTTAGATAGAGTGTTTCTGAGGGGTGGGAACTAGTGGGCATCTCTGGGTCAGGCCAAAGCATCTACCCACATAGAACACATGGGCTGAGCTAAATAGTATTGCTCACCACCTGCTGGTGCTCACAAATGCTATGGTTGGTAGGCATGGCTGGCTGGGTTAAGCTGCAAAATCTGCCCATGAGTGTTGGAGCAGAGAGTAGGCTATGACAGCTTGGGCCACAGCACCCACCAAAACACAAGAGAACCCCATGTGGGGACAGGTTTTATATGGGAATTGTGGATTTGCTTGCTGTGGGACTGCAGCATCCACTGGTTTGTGCAGAGAGCTAGGTATGGTGACAGGCTAAGCCAGGCTGGATCACAGAATTCACCTGACAGGAACTCCGTGACACTTGAGGGGGCTGGGGTGGAAAGAGGTTGGGCAGGGAAAGGCTACAGCACCTCCCAGCCCAGGCAGAGGCCAGGACTGAGGGCAGATCATGCCACACATGGTTGCTACACCTCCAGCACAAATGAGAATCATTGCTGGGAACAGGTCTGGTAGGAGAACTTGGGGAACTCCTCAGCTTGTCTACAGCTCCTACTGAGAAGCACAGAGCCAAAGTTGGGGATGTGCCAGGTCAGGTAGGGCTGCAGTACCTCTCAGCATTCGTGTGGGCCAGGTCTATGGCCAGGCTAGGATGGGCCAGTACATAGCACTTGCTGGCACACATGAGAACCAAGTCAGGGTGTGGGCTGTGCCCAGCTGAGCCAGGCTGCAATACTTACACTGTGGGTGGGCCATACCAGGCTGATCGAAGCACTCACCAGCATGCAAGATCTGGGTCTGGGACTCAGCTGGATAGAGGAACTAACTCTCAGGACTCCCCTGCTAGGATGCAGCTCCTGTTGTTAAGTGTGAGAGTTCAGTCTGGGGGCAAACCAGACTGGGCAAGATACCAGCACCTGCTGGTGCTTGTAAGAGTCAGAATGTGGATGGGATGGGTCAGGATAGACTGTAGTGCCCAGAATCAGTGTGGGCCAGTTGGGCTAGACTGTAGTACCTATCAATGATGCCAGTATAGGTAGCAGCAACTGCCAACACATGCAAGATCCATTGCTTTGAATGTGCTTGATAAGGGGAGTTTCGGGAGACTCCCCTGCTAGGCTGTAGTTCCTGCTGGTGAGCCCAAGACTAGCAAAAACATAGACTGGGTGGCCTGCAACACTAGTAGGCATACATATAAGCCAGGTATGGGAGCAGGCTGGGCAGGGTCAAACCACAATATACACTGGCAGGAGTGAAAGTCAGGAAAGGGCACATGTCAGGCTGCGCTGAACCGCAACATCTGCCAGTTCGAGAGGTCTGGGCATGGGCTATGCTGGGTGAGGCTGCTGTACCCCCTGGGGAGAGTTAGGGCTGGAGGTGGGCCAGGTTGGGCTAGGCTGTCACACCCAGTGGTGTCCAGGAAAGCCAGAATGGGTACAGGACAGCCAAGCTAGGCCATGATATCCACTGGAAAGTTAAGCTGGATCTAGATGCAAGGCATGTCAAGCTGGATCACAATACTCCCTGGCAAACGCAAAATGTAGGGTTGGGAGCATGCCTGGCAGGAGAAC